GGAAGGATTGACCTCATCAGTTGCTTCTCCTCCTTCACTGTTCATTTAGCAAGCTGGGGTGTGTTTGGGTCCTGCTGCTGTGCTGTAGCTGCAGTAAAATTTGACTATGTTGTCTAGCAGAGTGCCAAGATTACACTACTTTGGCAAGTAAAGAAAAAAAACATGTATGACTTTCAACTCTTTACTTAAAGCAGAACTTCACCCAAAAAAAAAAGGGGAAGGTTGGGGGTGGAGCTTGCCAAAATCCAAGATGGCAGCCTTACTGCAGAGCTCCAGTCCACACAGGGACACAAAGGCACATTGCAGACTCGCAGGGTCACTTCCCAACACCCCATTACAGTGTTCTGACTCCACGCCATGTAGGAATCATGACCAGAAAGAAGATCGCTGGCCAGAGAAGCTGACAGCCTTTTTTACACAAGGGCACAGATAAGATGGCACTGGCTCTTCTTCCTCACCAGCCTCCTGTATCCCACGGCAACACATCCAGGCTGGCAATCCTCATAAAAGAAGTAGCCCGTCAAAGAGCCAACACTCTCTACCATCTACTCCCTCATCTAGGAGCCTGGAGAAGACAAGAGTCAGGAAGGATGGCTTGGATTCTGCACATGAGGTGAACTCTAACCAGGACTCAGGGGATGACACTAGGGATCTCCCTGTTTCTATTGATCTCTTTCCTACCAACAATAAACATGTACTAGATACAACCCTTAAGGATATGCTCATAACTTTGAGAAGCTCTCTATATGTTGATATGATGACATGTGTGTACAAATTTGGTACAGAAATGGAGGCTGTTTCATCCAGGGTGGATCACATAGAAACAAAGATGGGCAAATTTGCCACAACCATAAACAATCTGATTGATGCCCACAATAATAAGAAAGAAGAGATGGACACAATGAAAGCTAAAATAGCAGATATTGAAGAAAGGTCCAGGAGAAATAATTTAAAGATTAGTGAGATCCCAGAGTCAGTCCAGCAACCTGACCTACGAAAATATGTCATTGTTCAATTCCATTTTGCCAGATCTATCCGATTTAGATCTAACTGTGGACAGGATCCACCACTTGACCAAACCATTGCATCCTCCTGACCACATACCCAGAGATGTCATATTGCGACTGTATTTTTTCCACATGAAAGAGCATTTGATGACTGGCACGCAATAGAGACCTCATTCCAGTACAGTACAAAGACCTTCAATTTTATGCTGACTTGCCTCAATATACACTCCAAAAGCGTAAAAACCTTAACACAATACCAAAAGCACTAAGGAACTATAAGATCAACTAAAAGTGAGGATTTCCAATAAAACTCACCATTACCAAAGATGGCACTTCATATATTGTCGACGATATGGCGAAGGGTTTAACCCTCCTAAAATCTTGGAACATTGTACCTGACAGTCATACTCAGACACCATCCAAGAGCAGTCCTAACCATATTGACGAGTGGTCACATCCAAGAACTCATGTACCCACACCTGACCAAGAGAGTGGGTGACCTCATTTCACTCAGCTATTAGTTCCTGAACTAGAGGAGCTTTCAAGCTGAACTTTTCCCCCTCTTACCTTTGAGTAGCAAAATGCTGCACCTATGTCTTAAGGACCTCCATATTTTTTGTCTGGCATTCTATATATATGTTTTGTTACTATTATTTTTTGGTTTACTACCTATTTGTTACAGTCAGAGCTTTTCATATCATCATTCCTGCATCAACTCGATGGAATCCTCAACAACAACATCTCTGGAACTGACATAAGACCAACACACCCTGGAAGATCTCTTTATTTATCATAAGTGTCACTTCCACATTATACACCTATCAACTTATATCCATAACCTACAATGGCAGTGAATTTCCTTACCATCAATGCAAAAGGACTGAATCACCCTGCAAAACACAGATCCTTATGGAGAGAGGCAGCACAATTCAATTGTGATGTCCTCTGCATTCAAGAAATGCATTTTCAAAACCCAAATCACCCTAAATTCTCTATTTCAAAGTATCCTCACATCTTCTTAGCAAACACGGATAACAAGAAAAGAGGTGTATTAACTGCTATAAGAGACTCGCAAGAGAGTCATTTGTATGTTACACAAAGAGGTTGCTGATCCACAAGGCTGTTACCACATACAGTACTGGTGTGCGACATTAACTGTATGACATACACTGTGGCCAATATCTATGCCACGAATAAGCACCAGATCCATTTTTTTTAACAAGGTCTTAAAAAAGATTTGCACAATCCAACAAGGATCATTACTATTATGTGGGGACTTTAATCTCACACCAGACCCAAAAATAGAATCCACCACATTCACCTGAAGGCACCAACCATCACTACAACCACACTACTGCATAACCACAAGCTCTATGATGCTAGGAGGTGCCTACATGCTAATAAAAGAGACTATTCTTTATTTTCTATAAGACATAATATGTATACCAGAATAGATTTATTCATTGTAGATAAGTGGCTCCTACCTAAAATCAAATCTTCTGAGATTATTGCCATAACTTGGTCAGATCATGCCTCGGTGCTGCTATCAGTTGCAGACAAACTGTCTGTCAATCCTACTACATTTGGAGATTCAATCCGCGGCTATTCCATCCAAACTTATACTGGAAAGTAGCTTGTTGAATTTGTTTGATAAACTGCCAAACCATAAGTCCACCTCCTTATTAAATTAGGAGCTAAATCAGCTTATACAAGATACCATTACACAAATCCATATGTTAGAAACTCAAAATAAGACCACCTCCTCTAAATCATTCTCTGATCAATTGGCAATATTACGATATGATCTTAGATTAATTCTACTGGACAATTTTGAAAAAGTTTCTAGAAGGTTACAATGTCATTACTACGCAGATGCCATACTACGCAGACGGCAACAGGGCAGGCAAAGTCTTAGCTAACCGTTTTAGAGGCCATAGATATAAAACCAAAATACCTTTTATTTTTTACCCAATAAAACAAGACAAAGTATTTAATCTGCAAGCTATTGCTGATGCCTTCAATCACTATTACAGCTCCCTCTATAATCCTAAACAGGACCCTAATATTTCCCAACCCACAAATGAGAACATTAGAGAATTTTTAAAAAACAATTAACCTCCCCAAATTGTCAGAGGATCAATTATATAACTTCAATTTTCCCTTTACTGATGCTGAAATCCTCCGTACTATCAAATCATTGTCCAACAATAAATCATCAGGCCCTGATGGTTTGACTGGGAAATACTTTAAAACATATTCTTGCCCCACATCTAAAGAAGGTATATAGCCATGCCGCTGCCTCCTCCTCTTTCCCCTGCGAAATGCTCAAGGAATTGATTGTTGCACTATGGAAGCCAGGGTGTCAGGGCAGGGTCACGCACTGACTGACGACAACCACCACCCACAGACTGGAGTCCCTCAGGGAGCAGAGTCTAAGTCCCAGGCTGCCCTTCACCAGGACCCCTGATGGTGGGGATGGACTTGACACAGCCAGAAACCAGGTCGCGGCCCCCGAGACACCCCAGCTGCGGTAGTGGCCCCCGCCAATGGCGTGTAGCTGGTAGGGACCAGATAGACAAAGAGTAGTCGGGCAGGCCGGGTCGATAACAACGGGACAAACGGTACAGAACGGTAGACAAGAATAACAGGTCACAGGCCGGGTTCAGCAACGGACGGTCAGATCAATGGAAAACGCAGAGAATGGTCAGTCAAAAGCCGAGTCAGATTTCAGGAGAGTCATGAGAGTATAAACAGAGCTATAGTCACACTAACACACAAGACACGAATGCAAAGGGCACGTGCGGAGAACAGGCTTATATGTGATCAACCACACCCCTCTGGGGGATGGACCGCAGAGGCCTGAAGGCATAAAAGACTCCCACCATGCTCTGCAGAAATCCAAGATGGATGCCAGCACATGGAGCAGCATAACCTCTGGGAAAAGGTAGGACCTTGACACAGGGAAGGAACCAATCACACCACATAATGTTTGCCCCATCTTGTTGCTAAACAATGATCTAAATGTTTATGCAAAATTGGTGGCCAATAGACTTATTGATATCTTACCCTCCCTTATCAACTTACGCTAAGCTGGATTTACAAAAGGTTGCCAAACTGCCAACGCAACTAGGCGCCTGATCAACATTATACATGTGGCAAATAACAGAACACCTTCTCTGCTTATGGCTCTGAACGCAGAGTAGGCATTTGATAGAATACATTGGGAGTATCTAGCACAGGTACTTACCAATTACAGATTTAAGGGCCCATAATGGCATTATACACTAACCCTTCCCCTCAGGTCTACGTGTCCAGAATATTGTCAACTCCATTCACTCTATATCAAATGGAACTCAGCAGTGGTGTGCCTTCTCCCCACTTATCTGTAATCTACTGATGGAACCTATGGCCACATATATACGTTCGCATCCACAGATACAGGGTTTTTTTATGGGAGGTAGGATGCACACCATTAGTCTTTTCGCAGACAACATCATAATGATGCTCACAGATGTGGAAACTTCACTGGCTTTGGTACAGCAACTCTTTAATAAAATGTCTTATTATAAGGTGAATGAGAAAAAATCATATATTTTGGATTTGGGAGTACCTACTAAAACCAAAAACCAAACTCCAAACTATTTTTCCATATGTGTGGAAGGATAAAGGGATTACCTACTTAAGGATCGCCCTTACTCCTAGGGCTGATAACCTTGTTAATGAAAATTATAGTCCCTGTAACTGAAGCGTAGGCAGGACAGAGCACACGGAGAAGATGGGGAACACACAAAGCTTTATTGAGACCACAAGATGACAGACACTCAATGGGGAAATGGCAGGGAGGGTGATGTGCGTGCAAACTAGGGACGATTCCAGGCACAGGGGGTCTTCTCCGGCAGGGTGGCTTGTGCGGTCTTCCCCCCCCCTTTGGCGATCTCCCCCCTTGACTTGGGGGGTCCCAGGCAGAGCCTGGTCACGAGGGTCCCGCCTCAACTGAGCTCCCTCCGTGACTGCACAGCAGATTGGAGTCTCAGGCAACAGGCGGGCAACCTACCCCTGGGCAGGGGTCTCGGGGACTCAATGGAGTCTGGCCTAGCACAGCTCCCACCCAGCTTTCTAGAGACATCGGGGTCACAGGGGGGGGGGGTCGGTGTGCACACTAGGGAGAGTTCAGAACACGGGTGGTCTGTGCACACAGCAGGGGCAGTTCAAAACACAGGTGGTCGGTGCACACAGCAGGGACAGTTCAAAACACGGGTGTTTGGTGCACACAGCAGGGACAGTTCAGAACACGGGTGGTCAGATGCACACAGCAGGGGCAGTTCAGAACACGGGTGGTCGGTGCACACCGCAGGGACAGTTCAAAACACGGGTGGTCGGTGCACACAGCAGGGACAGTTCAGAACACTGGTGGTCGGTGCACACAGCAGGGACAGTTCAAAACACGGGTGGTCGGTGCGCACAACAGGGACAGTTCAGGACACGGGGGAGGTCGGTGCACACAACAGAGACAGTTCGGGACACGGGTAGTCTGTGCGCACAACCACGGGCAGTTCATGGCTTCTAGGGAAACTCACGGTAGGCGACTTGCAGACGCTCAGCAGCAGGCAGATTCCAGGGAGGTTGACGACTTGTGGACGCTCGGCAGCAGGCAGCTTCCAGGGACCCTCAAAGCAGCCGACTCCTCTAGGGGCCTAGCAATCAGCAGCAGGGGCCCTCATGGCGGTCGGCTCCTCCAGGGCCCAGCGATCAGAAGGCAGGAACCCTCACAGCGGCCGGCTTCTCCAGGGCCCAGTGACCAGCAGGCAGGAACAGCAGCGGGGGTAGCATGGCCGCGGGGTCTGACCTTGGAAGAGGGGGCTCATGCAGAGCTGTGGAGACTCCCACCCTGGGACATTCAGCGGAGGGAGCAAGATGATTCCAGCAGTGTGCACAGGCACAAAGAGAGAGAGCTGCTTCCTGTGCCATTCTTTTTTAAACCATGTGGGACGCTGCTAGGTTGCCTTGGCAACGGCCGGCCCAGCTCCATTCATGGAAGCTACATGGACATCGGAATGTGCAAGGGGGAAGGGAGGGGGTGGAGGGATATGGCGGGGAATGGGAGAGGCACTGGCACTCCATGACAGTCCCTTTCTAAACTCTTTTCGCCGCAAATTAGATAAACTAGCCCTCTGCAAATTGTCTTGGTCAGGAAGGGTAGCAGCCTTTAAAATAAAGATGCTCCGACAACTGCTTCATCTATTCAGAACAATATCTATCCCTGTACACAATTCCTATTTCTCAACCCTGAAGTCTATACTAAATAAATATCTCTGGCAAGGAAAGAAAGCACGATGTGCTTTCAGCAAGCTCTTTAAATCAAAGTAAGCAGGAGGCTTAGGTCATACCCACCCAAGCGATTATTATTTAGCCTCAACTCTTGCTCAACTTAGAAAGTAGTTCGCTCCTCAACCTGATATTCTATGGGCAGAACTTGAACAAATTCAAATGCCAGGAGGGAACATGTACAATTATTTAATATCAATATCCCACACCACCTGCAGAGATACAAAACTCGCACCTACTATTGAAGCTTCAGTAGAAGCATGGAGTAACTTGTGCAAAGCCTCATTTATGAAACAAAAACTCACTTCTCTAAAATGTCCAATAGCTGTCTTAGTGTTTCTCATACCTGAGCTAAATCTTACAAGCTGGTACTCTAGAGGTATTTTAGCTTTAGAAGACTTGTATATTGGACCTGCCCTTAAAACCTTCCGGACACTGCAATTGGTGTATTCTCTTCCAGCTACAGCATTGTATCAATACAAGAAGATTTAGAAACCCTGATTCCTGAAGAAATTTGTTCTTAACAAAGTTTCAGTTACATACATTTGCCACCATGGCAGTGCATACAGTATTCATTACAAACTAATAAAGTGTAAAGGTTCCCAAAGTTGGAATGTCTGGCATGGTAATATATGCACAAACAAGATATACTGTATATGCAAATTTCAATTAAGATTTTTTTTTTTTTGTTTTCAATCTCAATTTCCATTTATTTTGCATAAAGTCTAGAGCAGATTCATACAAAGAAATAGAAAGGACCACAATGGCACACTTGTCAAAATACCCACTTTTTTTTAATAGCTCACTGGTGTTATATCAGTTATTAATTTTGAGAGAATTATCCTTTAAAAATAAATGTATTGATACGCCCAGTTTGACAGCTTTTGGGCCTACCTTCCATCCAAACCCTAATAACAGAAAAAAAAAAAGTCTGTGACATTCATTTAAAAAATACTATTGCCAAAATAAGTGGTAAAACACTACCGCACCTGCAAGTTTTGTGGCCTAGTCAGGTACAATGGAAAAGACACCGCTCCCTTCCCTTCAGAATTATATACATCATGTCATTTCACAGGACTTAATAACCTCACAATAAAATTCTCACTATACCTGGCATTAAGGAAGCAGTTGGAAAAAGCTCTTCCTGCTTAATTCGACTTTCATTCAGTAATTCTTCAGCAGTAATAGGAAGGTCGAGAACATCACGGATAATTTGAGCTGCCGGCAATGCCTTTTCCCCCATGACTAAGGATTTTACGTCCCATGTGTATTTTTTTTTTCCAAATCGGTCACAGATTTCTTGAAATACCACAGTGTAAAGGCGCTCCGTGTCTGTGGAAGAAGGCATGTAAAAGCATTAGGATGGATTACATGTATTGTTACAGTGTGATACTAAGGGAGTTTGCATACATTCAAAATAAAATGGAAATGCGAAAAAAAGGCAGAGTGACAGTTCAATTTTCCAAACTTCACAGATTTTTTTTGTGACCTTGAAAATACTTTCTTCAAACAGCAATTAGCGTGTCTTTTAACAAAGAATTCCTATAGGTTAATCTTAATACTGTAATTATACAGTGTAATAATTACTCAATGTACACAGTTTTTTTGATAATTTAGTATATGATTATACCTTGCTGTAGTTAATTAAAATGTAGATGAATTTAAATATGAATACCTAGTATAACTCACTTATCAGGAAAAATACTACCTATACCTGACATGATAATAATCATCCTTTCTTATCATTATAAAGATATTCCATTCAACACGTTTTATATAAGTATATACCTTATAAACAACATTACTACATTTTCATGGTACTCTATAGCTGTCTACTGATGTACTGTCGCATTAGGTGCAATGGTGACATCATGAAGCCACCCAGTGCCTCTAATTTATAGCCTGCCCTTGATACATAATTACTGTGCTTGAAAAGAATTTCAGTAACTCCTCTTTTATGGACATGTTGTGCTCATAGTAGTTTAGCTGCTGGTTTTACAAGGATAAAAAACACCTATTTTAAATGAGAATAACAGACAGCTCTGTATACCTGTATTCAAGTGAATACACCAAAGAATCACCCTGGTCTCATGTGTATATTTTATAAGACTATTTTAATTCAGGTTGCCAATAATTCAGACCTTACTTTTGCAAATGTAGGCTGATTGAGCTTGTCTGTAAGGTGCACAAAAAGTAAAAAAAAAAAAAAAGTAAAATGTGTATATATATATATATATATATATATACACACACACACACACATATACATTCACACACACACACATATATATGTACACACACACACTATATTGCCAAAGGTATTGGGATGCCTGCCTTTACACGCACACTTTAATCTGGCATCCCAGTCTTCCCAGCTAAACAGCTTCAACTCTACTGGGAAGGCTGCCAACAAGGTTTAGGAGTGTGTCTATGGGAATGTTTGACCATTCTTCCAAAAGAGCATTTGTGAGGTCAGGCACTGATGTCAGACGAGAAGGCCTGGCTTGCAGTCTCTGCTCTAATTCATCTCAAAGGTGTTCTATTGGTTTGAGGTCAGGCCAGTGATGTTCCTCCACCCCAAACTCGCTCATCCATGTTTTTATGGACCTTGCTTTGTGCACTGGTGCATAGTCATGTTGGAAAAGGAAGGGGCCCTCCCCAAACTGTTCCCACAAAGTTGGAAGCATGAAATTGTCCAAAATGTCTTAGTATGCTGATGCCTTAAGAGTTCCCTTCACTGAAACTAAGGGGCCAAGCCCAACTCCTGAAAAACAAAACCCACACCATAACCCCTACTCCAACAAGCATTACCCTTGGCACAATCCAGTTAGGCAACCGCCAAATCCAGACACCTCCATCAGATTGTCAGACAGAGAAACGTGATTCATCACTCCAGAGAACATGTCTCCACTGCTCTAGAGTCTAGTGATGGCATGCTTTACACCACTGCATCCAATGCTTTGCATTGCACTTAGTGATGTAAGGCTTGGATGCAGCTGCTCGGCCATGGAAACCCATATCATAAAGCTCTCCTTGCAATGTTGTGCTAATCTGAAGGCCACGAAGTTTGGAGGTCTTTAGCTATTGACTCTGCAAACAGTTGGCAACTTCTGCGCACTGTGCGCTGACCCCGCTCTGTCATTTTGTGTGGATTACCACTTCGTGGCTGAGCTGCTGTTGTTCCCAGTTGCTTCCAGTTTGTTATAATACCACTAAAAGTTGACCATGAAATATTTAGTAGCAAGGAACTTTCACGAATGGACTTATTGCACAGGTTACAACCTATCACGGTACCATGCTTGAATTCACTGAATTCCGGAAAGCGACCCATTCTTTCACAAATGTTTGTAGAAGCAGTCTGCATGCCTAGGTGCTTGATTGTATACACCGGTAGCCATGGATGTGATTGGAACACCTGAATCCAATGATTTTTTTATGCTACTGAATTTTTACACTGCCAGCAGGAATGAGTTATTTGTTGTTAAGGAGTCAATGGCTCCAATAATTGTAGGGTGTGCACAGCCTTTATAATGACTATAGCTCAGAGTTCCCATTAGGGGGTACATAATATCCCTACACATTCATCATGTACCCCATACTTACGCACATCAAGAAGGCAGGATCTGGGACCCTTTAATGTTAAAGTGGCCTTCCAGATTCTGATAAGCTCCTGCCAGCAGATACCCACAAACACTGGTTTACAGTTGTGGGGAAGAGGCCCATGTCTTCTTTAACATTGGGAAAAAGTGTTTTGCCAGGGGACCCCACATGGCAAATCCCCCCCTCCGACACAGAGCATTTGGCCTGGTATGGTTCAGGAGGGAGGGCTGCACACTCGTCCCCCCTTTACTGGCCTGCCAGGCTGCATGCTAGTATGTTGGGTTTTTTATTGGGGGGGGGGGGACATCACGCCATTTAGAAAAAATAAATTGGCATAACATCTCCCTTACAATCCATACTAGGGCCTATTATGTTTTTTTTGGGGGGGGGGGGGCAATCCATGGATTTTTTTGGGCCTGGGATCCCTCTTAAAGTTCATGCCAGACATGAAGGGCTTGGTATTGATTAGGGGGACCCCCACACTGCTTTTGTCTTTTCAATGACAGCTCCTTTGTTTACATTTTGTTGTCAGCCAGAAATCAGAGGCTCTTTAAATGTATTAGTATCAAGAACATATCAGATGTGAACAAATCTCACTACATAATCACTCTAAAAATCAGTCAAACTAGTGTGAACCTAGCCAAAGAGTTTTCCTTAATGCTCACCTGTCCACTCTCCATACAGTGTGGCCCATGGGGAGCAACTCTGCTGGCACTGACTATTCTCCCAGTCAATTCATTCTTTCATCTTAAAATTCACAATTATCCAATGAGTAGGCTGTCTATCATACATTCCAATGCCTCCTTGCTTTCACCTGGTGACCTAGCCAGTAAAACACCACCTGTATTAGCGTGCCCCCACTCTGGATGAAAGAGCACAGAATGTACAGAAGACAGTAGCATTATCAGTCAGGGGGGTTGAGGTAGTTAGATGAACTAGCAGATTTAAATACACTAATAAATTGAAGCCAGTTTCTAGTTTAGACTTTATAATCAGTTGCAGCAAATATTTTTTTTTTTTTTTTGGCATAAAGGTTTTATGTGAATAAATAAAAGCTAATCGTTTTAACATCCCCTCCCCGGTGTTAATTGGTTTGTCTGTCTCATCCAACATAAACTGATATATCCTGCTGGAGAGCTTGTGCTAAACAACAGGAGACTTGCCGGCTGGATCACCAGCTGAAAATAGAAGAAAGCCAAAAAAAGTAAACTAATACAGTTCATCACATCTAAGAATTAGTAAGCTGCAATACAATAAATGTTTGCTTTTGGGTTTAATACCGCTGTAACCTTTGACGGCCAAGATTTTCTTTCAGATATAATTTATAGCAACCTATGTACTCTAAGTCAGACAGAGGAATATGTAAAAAAATATGCACACATACACACACACAATGTACACACACACATATATATATATATATATATATATATACATATATATATATATAATCCATCCAACAAAAGTCTTATATGTACAATTCCTTTAGCACACTTTAATGGGGAAAAAAATGGAGTAACGCAGCCCCAAAAGCCCACAGGACATATATCACAATACTGCTTCAAATCAGCACAAATTTAACAGACCTAGCTCTGATAGCTTCAAGATTGATAGCCTAACTGAAAGAAAAAAAGTGTACACTTGGCAGTACCAGGTGGTGTTCTCAGCAAGTGAGAGTTAAAGATAAATTGAAGGCATATGGCTTAAGCTGTTGCTGTCCTACAGCCTAATTTATTACTAATGCAGTGGGAACTAAGAGACAAATAAAAGGAATAGACAACGATCTGAGGGCAATGTGGTCCTCGTACATTTTTAAGATCAAGCCAGAATAATAAACTGCCTCTGGTACAACAATATAAACAGGCAAACAAAACCACAGAGCATCAAATTGGAAGCCAAATCGTTTATACGGGTTACCACCATCTGATAAGACCTATTACTCAGACAATTTATGCTAATGTACATGGGTACCATTCTTAGACTACAATTTATCAAGCTCAAATTCCCTGCATTGGATAAGAATCCAGTGATGCAGCCGGTTCATGCTAATGTGTGATTGATGGGATTAACACTCTGTGAATCCTGGATGTAATGTTTATTAGCGATGCCAAATACAACTGTGAAATCCCCTGAAGCCTGCAAATAGACCCCTATTACACCTATAGTGATAGAATAGTCATGTGGCAGTAATGTTTAAGCAGGATTTTTCAGTGCAGAAAACTGGGGAAAAAATAATACTGTTAGTGAGCTGTTTAACATTTAGGAGTTGATTTGCTAAATTAAAATAGGCTATTTAACTATGCAAGGGAAGTTGAACTTTGCAAAAAAACTTTCCAAAAAGCTTAGTGAATGCTGTGAAATTTCAGTTTGCAAAAAATACTCGACCGTGTGAAAAAGTAAAAATAAAAACTTTGCTACCGTATTTTCCGGCGTATAAGGCAACTGGGTGTATAAGACGACCCCCTAATTTTCCAGTTAAAACATAGGTTTTGGGCTATACTCGCCATATAAGGCTACCCCCCTTAAAAGGCAACACCATTTAAAAACATCAGATTTTTTAATTGATAATGGTTATGACTTACTGGTACTTAAAATCCTTCAAAATCCTCATGTTCATCATAAATTCATGAATGCCATCTTGTGATACATTTGTAAGACAGTCATCACATGGATCAAATTCCAAATCAGATGGTTACTGCAGGATGTGCGGTAATACGGTAGCTTAGGCTACATAAAGTATACAGTATATATACAGCCAGCTGGATGTGCAGTAATGTACATACAGTATACTGTGCATAGCCAAGCTGGCTCAAAACAAATGTCCCTATGACAGATTAATCTGACAGCCCGCTGGAGGTGCGGAATATACAGTATACTGAGCCAAGCTGTTTCAAAACGTACCGGTACGTCCCTACTGTAATCAGACCGCTGGATGCGTGTATGTACAGTAGCTGAGGCTACATACAGTATATGCTGGGCCAATCATGGTGAGCGATGTATTCTAATGAATACAAAGCCTGTTCAGATTGGCTGAGGTTGTGACATCATCAGCCCACCTCTCTGACTCAGCCAATCCGAGCAGGCTTTGTATTCATTAGTAGAATACATCACTCGCCGTGATTGGCCCTGTGTATACTGTATGTAGCCGCAGCTACCGTACATACACACATCCAGCGGGCTGATTACCGTAGGGACGTACCGGTACATTTTGAAACAGCTTGGCTCAGTATACTGTATATACCACACATCCAGCGGGCTGACAGATTAATCTGTGATAGGGACATTTGTTTTGAGCCAGCTTGGCTCAGCACAGTATACTGTATGTACCGTATTACCACACATCCAGCCAGCTTGACCCAAAAAAACTCAAGGTTCACATTTTATACCCCGCGTATAAGACAACCCCCAATTTTTGGGGTATATTTTTAAGTATAAAAAGTAGCCTTATACGCCAGAAAATACTGTAGTTTGATGATAAAAATCAGCACAGCTTTACCTCATTCACTAACCTCTGGGGAAAATTTCCTTGAAAAGTGTATAGTTGCAAACATCCCTTGCAATGTGTAAAGTCTGTTTGCCTTTAGTAAGACAACCCCCAATTTTTTTCTGTTGTATATGTGCTGGCTAGGTCTACAAATATGTTGTCCAAAACTTTCAAAAGCATAACTTGGTTCTGATCAGACCAGATGTGAGATAATGTACTATTTCATATTTGTTTAAGTATTGTGAATTGTGAATATCCACACATGCATGTGTGAAACTATTTCCTTGGATTTCATCTCACAGGCAGACTGTCTAGATCTATGGCAGTTCCACCAATGCACAGTATGTTATTGCTACAGATTAAAATATATTTCAATATATAAAAGTGATAACGAGCACAAAAAACTATGAAGATCAATAGCACTGGCCAAAAATCTCTTGAAGTAACCTGTAAAAAATGTAATCAATTTATCTTAAAGAGGGACTTCCATATTCTGATAAGCCCATCAGCAGCCCCCCACATCCACCAGGCCAGGGTTTGTGGTGAAAAGGCACTTGTCTTCAATACCCAACCCTCATTAAGGATAAGGGTCTTTTATGTATTTTTAGTGGGGGCACTATGCATTCTTTTCTTGTTGTGTGTGTGGAGTACCCATTAACATCTATAGCAGACCTTCATCTAAGATAAGGGAGGCATGGCTATGTGTTTCAAGGCTGCCCAGGCTCTGTAAACAGGCATGAAAAAGAGGTAGCATAACTACATGTTTCAAGGCCACCCTGCCTCTTTGTCAAGAGGCTTGACAAAGAGGAAGGGTGACCTTGAAATGTGCAGCCACGTGATTTCATTCCCCATTGTCTTTTATGCTGTCTGATGCTTCTGACACCTTTGGCATACCCAGACAATGGCAGTTTCCTACATTTTCTGGTCTGGAATCTCCATTACCATAGCTGAGAAAGAGAAATCTGCCTGACTGAGGCTATACGATAAATGCTTTTTTCTCTTTTTAAATGTGAGTTGCCATTTGTCCTCTCCTTATTTACCAAATGCGCCTTCCAGTGTTCTTTTTCTGTTTTGCTGGCTTAGAGATTTGTCCAGTCCCTGTGAGGAGCTATCATGAATGTATAGCAGCTAGTACGGAGTTAACTCTGGGTGTACCATACATGGACTTTAGCTGACTTTTTTTTTTTGCTTTTGCCTTTGTTCACCAGGTCAGTGACCAGTCCCCCATGCCTCTTATTTGACAATGCATTGCCAATTAGCCTTCACAATGGCCACTGCTTTTTTTAACATTCAGCTCCCACTGACTTCAGTAGGCTTTGGTACCAGTGCCTGAACTTCAGTAAAGTTCACAGATTCCACCTTGAACTGAACCCAGGTATGTTCTGCTCATCACTACTTCTGACAGTGCACATTTTCTTTAAGGTGAAAAAAAAAAGACTGGAGAATCTAGCATGAGATCCAGAGCGCTTGGTGACTGTTTCATAAACAGGCAAAAAAAAGTATGGTCTGTGACGAACAGAAGCATAGCTCAGAGATGAATATACATTTGTAAAACACATTTTTGTTGAATTTTATTCTCCTGATATCCAGAATTATCATTTTATTTTTTGATCCCATTAAAATGTAAAAAGTCTCACAGAGGCACTCATTGATAATGTTATTTACATTAACCTTATCATATTTACTAGTTTATAGTCACATAGTCTATATTATAATACCATACAAGCCAGAAGAATCCAAACTGCAGCATGTTGTATTTTTAAAACAGGAAAAGCAAATGGAAAGTAATGCAAAGGTTTTCTTGCACAGGCAGAAAAGCCAATAAATCTCATAATGTGGTGCTGCTAGCTGACAAATGTAAAACAAAAAGGTAACTATTCCTAATGTATATGGCTTTAATCTTTTGAAAAGGAGAAATGATTTTTAGGTAACTGCCACTCTTAAATGTCAGACATAGTTGTGAATACTACATCCATTCAGTTATGAACCGTTTCCCTGCCAGCACCATTAATTTAATAGCAGAACAACACCATCACTTGCACGCCGGCACCATTAAATTAACAGTGCTGTCTTTGAAGCCTATTACAGTCTCAAAGTCATTCAGCATGCCCTTGTAATCAAACTAAGCTTCAGTATCCCTGCAGCAAGGGTGGATGTGATTCGGTAGCTTGATCATCTCTATAAAGCCTAAAAAAAAAGTTTACTTTTCTAGGCACTACAACCATTTGGAAACTGTGAACCTGGAAGTGCTCTGTGATAAGTCCTTCTGGAATTATTTTCAAGTGTAGATCAATTTTTTTTCTCCAATAGAAATTTTTATTTGTACATGTAATAAACAGCAATCTGGAGTAAGCTCTAATTAAATCTCTGTGATATGCTTAATCAATCTGAAGACCTCTTTTCAAAAAAATTTAATCAATGGGCACTCCCCCAAATATGCAGCATGGTTCCTTTGTCTTTACCACATTTCCAACATACTGTATATCAGGGGATGATGGAAACCATTTCTTTAATTTGGCTGCAGTGGCATACCAGTTGGTTAAAAGCTTGTATAATGTCTCCTGGAATCTATTTTATGAGCTAAAATACAAGCATTTGTCCACTGTTCATCTGTAAAGGTAGTGTTGAATGCCAATTCCCAATCTGAAAGAAATCTGACTTTATCCTCTTTAGCTGAATTTTGTAACCATTTGTATATTAAAGTCGTTGTTTCTACCACTAGTCCTTTTAAGCAATTGGATTTAAAGGGAATCAATGATCTGAAAAATTCTTCCCAGTGGAAGAATGGATATAGGTGTGTAGTTGGACATACTGTAAGTCCAATGGGTAAGGACAGGTGAGGTTAACTCACCCTTCGATTTTTCAAAGCTTTTACATTTACCTCTTTCTATACAGTGTGTAACTACTAAAGGAGTTCTGGTATCTTTAGTTGCAGTTTTGTTCAGAACCCGGCTGGGGATGAAGTCTGGGTTATGTACTATAGGAGTTAACGGCCCAGAAGAGGAAGATATGTCATGCATTTTAGAAACCCTGTGGAACACTGCTGGAGTAGGTTCAATCAACGGACGATGTTTTGCTTGTGGTGGGCATGTATCCCATGGAACCCATGGTAAAAATTTATGTAGGGTGAAGCTTCCCAGGATCTCTAGGCCTACCCAGCCTTTATTGTCTTTGTGACAATTCCAATCAACTACTCTAGCTAAGTGTGTTGCAAAAAAATGAGCATTCCTATGCCACCTGTAGTTTTAGATTTGAGAGAATAGTTGTAAGTTGATTCTTGGTCTTTTTATGGGACCAAATAAAGGTGCAAACAACTGAATGTAGTTGCTTAAAGAAGCTGGTAGGTATGTCAATAGCTAGTATATGAAAATTATATTAAATCCTAGGTAGAATTGTCATTTTAAAGTGTTACTAAACCCAAAACAGTAAAATCAGTCTGTATATGCAGTAAACCATGCTTATTATACTCACTATGGAAACTAGGGAGTTAATCCTCTGCATTGTGTAAAAAGGCTATTTGATCCTGTTTTCTCTGCCCCTCCTCTTGTTCAAATGTCTACATCTTATCTCCTGATAAGACAGACTGAACCCATAGCGACATGCACATGCTCAGTTTAATGTGGATTGCTAGAAGTTTTTTTTTTTTTTTTTTTCTTGGGAGACTGCATTTGATCAGCACAGGCCAATCAGCATTGTCCAGACAGAGGTCATGGGTTTTGCATCCTCCTAGAGCAAAAAGAAAACTCCTCCTACAAGCTTTAACCAGTGCTTTGCTGAACACTGATAGCAGACACAAATCTGCTCTAACTGTTGATGAGAAAAGGTATTTAGCAGTTTATATTTACTAAAATAATTGCACTTCCATTTTCTGTGGGGGACCAGATATGGTGAATGCAGGGTTGTGGATTTAGTAACACTTTAACTGCTACGCCCAACCAAACCATGAGAAGGGTTTCATCACCCAATTATTAAGATCCTGGGAAACTCTATTTAGAAGGGGTTTATAGTTAGTTTGAAAAGGTTGGCTAAGTTAGATGTGATCCACACCCCCAGATAGTTGAGAGCCTTGGGTACCCCTTTGAATGGGCAGTTTCACTGTGTTCCCTGCAAAATAATCTGCGGAACAGATACATTAAGGGCCTCTGATCTAGTGTAATTTATCTTTAGGTTAGATACACTATATTGCCAAAAGTATTGGGACACCTGCCTTTACACGCACATGAACTTTAATGGCATCCAAGTCCTAGTCCAGAGGGTTTAATATTGAGTTGGTCCTCCTTTGCAGCTATAACAGCTTCAACTCTTCTGGGAAGGCTGTCCACAAGGTTTAGAAGTGTGTCTATGGGAATGTTTGACCATTCTTCCAGAAGCGCATTTGTGAGGTCAAGCACTGATGTTGGACGAGAAGGCCTGGCTCACAGTCTCCACTCTAAATCATTCCAAAGGTGTTCTATCGGTTTGAGGTCCGGACTCTGTGCACGTCAGTCAATTTCCTCCACCCCAAACTCGCTCATTCATGTCTTTATGGACCTTGCTTTGTGGAACAGGAAGGGGCCATCCGCAAACTGTTCCCACAAAGTTGTGAGCATGAAATGTCCAAAATAGCTTGGTATGCTGGCGCTTTAAGAGCTCCCTTTGCTGGAACTAGGGGGCAAAGCCCAACCCTTGAAAAACAACCATTACCCCCCCTCTACCAAACTTTACACTTGGTACAATGCAGTCAGACAAGTACTGTTCTCCTGGCAACTGCCAAACCCAGAAGTGTCCATCGGATTGGATGAAGCTGCTCAGCCATGGAAACCCATTCCATGAAGCCCTCTACACACTGTTGTTGTGTTAATCTGAAGGCCACACAAAGTTTGGAGGTCTTTAGCTATTGACTCTGCAGACAGTTGGCAAATTTCTGCCCACTGTGCACTTCAGCATGCGCTGGCCCTACTCTGTCATTTTATGTGACCTACCACTTCGTGGCTGAGTTTCTGTTGTTCCCAGTTTCTTCCACTTTTGTTAAAACACCACGAACAGCTGACCGTCGAATATTTAGTAGCAAGGTAATTTCACGGATGGACTTATTGCACAGGTGGCAACCTATCCCGGTACCACACTTGAATTCACTGAGCTCCTGAGAGCGACCCATTCTTTCACAAATGTTTGTAGAAGCAGTCTGCATGCCTTGGTGCTTGATTTTATATACATGTGGCCATGGAGGTGATTGGAACACCTAAATCCAATGATTTGGAGGGGTGTCCCAATATTTTGGGCAAAATAGTGTATGTGGTATTGCTGGTGTGATGCAGGAGGATGGAACTCAGGTATTCACCTTGTTCAGCTCTGAACATATGGATTCCACCATGCACCATGCTAGCAGGTATGTGGTGGTACTAAAGACACCTGTTGAGACCACTAATCAGCCAATCCTCTGCAGCAGCTGAGGGGAGCCAAAGCGTCTGCATCATGTACTGAACTGAATTGAAATACGTTATTTACAAAGATCTTTTTTTACCAGCAGTATACAGCATAAGTAAGAGGAGGGTGAAGCATTTAGAGCAAATTAATATTTAGCCTTTACTTACACTTTAAAATAACAAAAAAAAATTAGAGTTTTGATATAAATGTAAATTCCAGATATTACAGTACAGAATACAGGAACTGAATCTTAAACCATAGGTTATATGCTGCTACCTTCAGATGACTAGACACTGGAAAAAGCTTTGCTGGGCCCTATCTTAGCCAGATTTGTCAACTGCCTGTCTTAACCTCCCTGGCGGTATTCCCGAGTGTAGCTCGGGGTGAAATTTCAGTACCAAAAGCGGTATCCCCGAGCTACAGTCGGGCTTACCATGCGGCGTTGCTCAGGGATTCCCTGCAGCGCTTACCTTGTCCTTCGCTCCCGCAATGTCCCTCCTGCAGCGTCCCTGGCCATCTCCTCCAGCCGATGCCGGCATCCGGCTTCTGTGTTTCGGTCCCTGTGACATCGGGACGTACGGGGGCCGAAACCGGCGGCAAATTTAAAAATTTTAAAAACTGTCTTTTTTTGGTAAACGAATATTACATAGCAAAACATTGCTGTTTCAAAGCATTTCACATACATTTTGTCCCTAGTGCTTTGTCCTGTGCCCTGACTGCATTTTGACTGTTCTTTCTGACTGGAAACTTAGAAAAGTCCAAAAAGCGTCCTTTTAGGTCAAAAGCAGTTTTAGACCGGCTAGAGAACAGCGATAGTAAATCAGAACCACTTGCAGAATTGAGTGATAATGATTTTGGGGAAATTCGTCATCAGACACTGAAAACGATTTTGCGACTTTGCTCAGCGATAAGCGAAACTTGGCGCTATATTTCAAATTTCAATGTTTTTGGTTTGAATATATTATTGAATTAAATTTATTATTATATTATTTTTTATGATTATTTATTAAATTTATAATTTATGATTTTGTGTTTCAAGTTTAATCATATCCGGAATGTTTACTAGACTCTTGTTCGGACAGATTTCAGTGAGTTATTCCTAAAAATTACAGGCCTACAATAAAAAAAACTACATATTTCCATGCAAAATAATGGTACCGCTTTCAGCACCAAAAATCTGAAATAATCATACCGCCAGGGAGGTTAAAGTGGTTGACAGTACAAGAGTACTGGCCCTTGTACTGTACTGCGTCCTGATTCTAGACAGTAGAACGCAATACATCATACTCGTGACAAGATAATATAATTGGTGACCCAAAATACCATAATGAGTGTGATACTCCTCGAGTACTTTCCCTCTTCATATCTGCATAGAGATGGTAGTTTAGATAAGCATTCAAGTTTCGAATAAGACAATTCATTACAATACTAAGAAGCCTATTTCTAAAGGTGTTTACCTTGTATCTGCATTTTGCCCTAAAGAGGTGTTGGATTTTCTTAAAGCAGCAGCATGGCAACAGTAAGGCCCTAAAGCCTAGTACACACGATCAGAAAATAGTACAAAAAATACTGCTTTCAAAACGATTGTACGATAATTTAATTGTTAGTACACAGCTTTCATTCTAAATTATTTGAAGGGAGAAGCACAAAAATGTTTCTATCGTACGATTTCCGTTTAATCAGAACAGTTTTCATCCGAAAATACAATACATCACTTTCAAATTTTTATTCTGTCATTCATCCGATATTCTTATTGTGTGTACATTGCTTAAGACTGCTTTATAATTGGGTCTTCAAGTATTATTTATTGATATAAATATTGAAACCAGCATGACCAATGACTAGAAGGGGACCTGTAATCCATCACTGCAGATGTGCCCAAGGCAGCTAGTCTCCAACGGTCCCCTCAAAAGGATCTCATTAGTAGCAAACTCTCTCCTGTATCCTGAGAAAACCCTTTGGTGGGTAACCAAAATCGGAAGTGCTCACATCGTGCACAAAGAGACATAAACTTTATGGCTAAGCTAATCTGCCTGGGTTTGGTTTGTAAATAGTTTGAATCTTGAGAACATTGCAATGAGCTCTGTTGAAGTTCACGGGGGGGGGTATTTTTTATTAAATTCTAACCAATTGAAGGATTAACAAGGAAGGTATAGTCAAACCACATGGTGGCTGCGAGCCCACATTTTTAAGGAAAAGGGCTGGGTTACACATTCCTCCAAATTATTAGCTTTTTTTGATTACTCTGGCCAGGAGAAAACACTATGCACTGCACTTTAGGTGTTTCATATTTCTGGTGGTAAACCTGCAAAGTTTAGCTTTTATGATTTTTTTGGCATGCTCATTGTCACATTTCAACAACTGTTTTTCCCCAATTTTTTGCGGTCACAAAAGAATAGTAGACGTGCCGGAGTTATGTTTTGTTCAGTTAATTGTTGAATGAACAAATATGATATTTGGAGAAAACAAAAGCGTCAGTCACCTATAATATTTAAAGTCAGGGAAACCATTATATTTTACTTAATTTCTCATAAATACAATATAAATTATAACAAAACCAACTTTTTTTTCTTTGTTTGCTGACAGAATGTATTTACAAAAGAGAAGAATATATGGTTACCAATCCATGTTACTGTATCATTCAACAGGCTTTGAGAACCCCACGATTAACAAGAAGTGTACACCCTGTGTGCTAGAAGATTAAGGGTAGACACATCATAGTGATATGTGAACATTTTATTCACCCCTTTAAAGGTATTTAAAAAGAAATATAGTGTAAAAGTCTAATGCACTGTCTACTAAATCTAGGGGGTGTGATAACAGCTTTCTAAAGTGAGTTTATTTTTATCCAAATTTGTGAGAATAGATAGCAAAATATTGTAGATTTCATACACTTTACAATATAAATGCACCGCCACTACCTAAAGGGCACATATAGGGTTTTATTCACTAAAACTGGAGAGTGCAAAATCTAATGCAGCTGTGCATGGTAGCCAATTCTAACCTCAGCTTGTTCAATTAAGTATTGACAATAAAACCTGGAAGCTGATTAGTTTGTATACAGCGCTGCACCAAATTTTGCACTCTCCAGTTTTAGTAAATCACTCCACAATGTTCTCAGTGATTACATATTTTAAGCCTATTAATGCATTGTTAACTTAGCCCCGGTTCACACTGCTGCAACTTATCATGCGACTTGCGACACAAAGTTGTATGACAAGTCAAAACAAATTAATTCCAATGTGACTAAAGTCACAGCAACAAAAAAAGAAAGGGTCCTGCACTACTTTTCTGTGAGGCTGGTACGACTAGAGTGTCATAGACTGCAATGTTAAATCACAAAACTTGCAAAGAAATCGCAAGCAAGTCGCACAACTTTGGTGTTGCAGTGTGAATGTAGCCTTAAAGGGATTGTAACGGTTTAAATATTTTTTTTTTAAAACAACAAACATGTTATACAATGGTATTGCACAGAGCAACCCCAAAACTCCTCTTCTGGAGTCCTCCGCTTGCTATGAGTGCACATGTGTGTGCTCGGTCCTGAGCCAAGCTGCGAGAGTCCATAGACACATGCAGCGTGGTTTGCCCCCTATCCCCCCCACTCTCTGCTCACAGGATTTGATTAACAGCAGCAGGAGTCAAAGGCTCCCACTGCCTCAGCAAAGCCTGTGAGAGTGGAGGGAGAGGAGAGAGACTCTACAGATGGGCACAGCGCTGGATCCATCCTTAGCAGGGTGAGGGGGTGATACGAATACTGGGACATATTTTACCTTAAAGTGTTACTAAACCCAGGACCCTGCATTCACTCTATCTGGTCTCTCACAGTACACACTACATGGAAATGCAATTATTTTAGTAAATATAAACTGCCAAATACTTTTTCTCATCAGCAGTTAGAGCAGTCTTGTGACTTCTTTCAGTGTCCAGTAGAGCACTGGTTAAAGCTTGTAGACAGAGTTTTCTTTCTACTCTAGGAGGATGTACAATCCCTGACCTTTGCCTGGACAGTGCTGATTGGCCCTCTGCTGATCACATGCACTCTGCCAAGAAAAAAAAAAAACTCTCTAGCAACACACTCCAAACTGAGCATGTGCAGAGTGTCTCCATTAAATGTCTTATCAGGAGATAAGAGGGAGAGACTGAAAGAAGGGGAGGATCAAAGAAGTCAGGATCAAACAGCATTTTTAAACAATGCAGAGGATTCACCCCTTAGGTTCCACAGTGAGTATAACAAGTATGCTTTTCTGCATATAGACTGATTTTACTTTTGTGGGTTTAGTAACACTTTAATGCAGGGAATGCATTATGCTAAACATATATTGACTCTACAGCCACTTTAACGTAATCCTTGAAGTGATTTAATTTTGTAAATGCTTGTGTTTCCATATTTTTGTTATTATATTAAAAAGGACGTTTTTTAGATTATCCCCTGCATTCAGGCTGTGTTTCTGCTTAAGTGAGCCTGTGCCCATTCTATGTATATTAAACTACGTACATATTTCTAATGATGTATAAATGAGCATTAAATCTAGACCTGTAGCTGCATGTATTGTGGAGAAATATGTCCTCAAATTCACAGCTGAAGCACTGAAATCACATCTCTTCTTCCCTTTTTTTTTTCTATTGCATCAGGGACTTTCCTTTACTTGATGAGTAAGCCATGCTAAATGCCATTAGTCTGTCCAGTGAGACTAAATGGCCAGCAAGGGCATTCTCTTAGAATGGCAAAAGTGGGTACAAACCTTTGGGACCACTTTCGTGGGATTGCGGCCGCCACCCGCCCTCCCCTCTCAAATGGGCTTGTTTGTAGTGGTAAATGGTGGGTTTGTCATGTGTGAGAAAATTTGGTGTTGGCCCCTTTAAATTTTGTTAA